CCCTCGCTTCCATCCAGGTGACCTCCAGCCCAAACAGAACACCTGGGTCACCTTGGCCAAGTCCCTCCAGCAGAACAACTTCGTTATGGCCACGGGAAGCGCGGATGAGCCGTTACCTCCGTGCCTGGTGGGAGACCCCTGACAGAAAAAGATGAGAAAAATGAGATGGGTTTCTCATGGGTGAGAAACCCAACGCTGTGGACTCCCAGCATGGATGGACAAGGATTCTTGACGTGCCTCACCAGAGCCCCACGAGCTGGACCCGTTGGGCCCATCCAGAGCGAAGCGCGGCGTTAATTTTGTGCATACAGCGAGACCGAATCGGCAGATGAGACCTCCAAGCAAAGATGCCTCACCAAACGATAAAAGGGGGTCCCTGCAGCCTGGGCCAGCTGAATACCCTCACCCCAAATACCTCCCAATTGCAGAATTGGAAGCAGAACACCAAATTATCCCGCCAGAAGAGATCCTTGGAAGAATTCAATCCAGATTTTGACGGCCAAATTCACACTTGGGGAACGACCCAAGAGGGTCGCGGTTTCCATTTTTCCACCCCGGGTCGCCGCCGCGAAGGCCCTGGGGGAGATGTCTCAGCTGGGGTGTTGGCTTGGCGAGCAGGTCAAGGTGACGTTCGTGGACGAAGAGGCCGCCGGGCTCGCCACGTTGCAAGATGGGGCAGGAATCGAATTCAAGATGGGGCAGCAATCGATTTCAAGATAGGGCAGGAATCGAATTCAAGATGGGGCAGGAATCGATTTCAAGATGGGGCAGCAATCGATTTCAAGATAGGGCAGCAATCGATTTCAAGATAGGGGCAGCAATCGAATTCAAGATAGGGCAGCAATCGAATTCAAGATAGGGCAGGAATCGAATTCAAGATAGGGCAGCAATTGAATTCAAGATAGGGGCAGCAATCGATTTCAAGATAGGGCAGCAATCGATTTCAAGATAGGGCAGCAAACGATTTCAAGATGGGGCAGCAATCGATTTCAAGATAGGGCAGGAATCGAATTCAAGATAGGGCAGCAATCGAATTCAAGATAGGGCAGCAATCGAATTCAAGATAGGGCAGCAATCGAATTCAAGATAGGGCAGCAAACGATTTCAAGATAGGGGCAGCAATCGAATTCAAGATAGGGCAGGAATCGAATTCAAGATAGGGCAGCAATCGAATTTTCTGCTGCTCTCCCGCGGCCGTGGATGTGAGGACTTTGAAGGAAACCTGTCTTGGCACAGCAGCTCGATACAGGCGAACGTAACGGGGCTGTTAAATGAGGTGAAATTACATTGAGGCTGAGAAGAAGGCGGCTGCAGAGTGGCTGGACAGGCTGTTCAAACGATGGGGAGTTCCTGAGTGGGTCCCCTCTGTCTCAAGAGAGCTGCTGTGGGTCACCATCCTAACAGGGATTGTTGGAATTGTTGTATTTTGCCTCAAAAAAGCTCTTTTAAAGACACTCGGAGAGGCCTTTTTAATAAACAGAAAAGGGGGAGATGCGGGGGGAGAGGGCGGAGATGACGGAGCTGAGATCCCATGGAGGGGAGGGGGGCAGGTGGTAAATGACAGCGTCCGTTCCAGAAAGTTCTCTGCTCTGAACTGCCCCATTGGAGCACCCCATGTGCTGCCCCAGTAACTCCCAGTGCTCCCAGTAACCCACAGTGATCCCAGTAACCCACAGTGATCCCAGTAACCCACAGTGATCCCAGTAACCCACAGTGATCCCAGTAACCCCCAGTGCTCCCAGTAACCCACAGTGCTCCCAGTAACCCACAGTGATCCCAATAACCCACAGTGATCCCAGTAACTCCCAGTGATCCCAGTAACCCACAGTGATCCCAGTAACCCACAGTGATCCCAATAACCCACAGTGATCCCAGTAACTCCCAGTGATCCCAGTAACCCCCAGTGCTCCCAGTAACCCCCAGTGATCCCAGTAACCCCCAGTGCTCCCAGTAACCCACAGTGATCCCAGTAACCCCCAGTGCTCCCAGTGCTCCCAGTAACCCACAGTGCTCCCAGTAACCCACAGTGCTCCCAGTAACCCACAGTGATCCCAGTAACCCCCAGTGCTCCCAGTGCTCCCAGTAACCCACAGTGATCCCAGTAACCCACAGTGATCCCAGTAACTCTCAGTGATCCCAGTAACCCACAGTGATCCCAGTAACCCACAGTGATCCCAGTAACTCACAGTGATCCCAGTAACTCCCAGTGCTCCCAGTAACCCACAGTGATCCCAGTAACCCACAGTGATCCCAGTAACCCCCAGTGCTCCCAGTAACCCACAGTGCTCCCAGTAACCCACAGTGATCCCAGTAACCCACAGTGCTCCCAGTAACCCACAGTGCTCCCAGAATCTCCCAGTAACTTCCAATATCTCCCAGTAACTCCCAGTGCTCCCAGTAACCCCCAGTGCTCCCAGTAACTCCCAGTGCTCCCAGGAACCCCCAGTAACCTCCAGTGATCCCAGTAACTCCCAGTAATTTCCAGTAAGTCCCAGTAATACCCCATGATCCCAGTAACCCTCAGTGCTCCCAGAATCTCCCAGTAACTTCCAATATCTCCCAGTATCTCCCAGTAGCCTCCAGTGATCCCAGTAACCCCCAGTGCTCCCAGAATCTCCCAGTAACTTCCAATATCTGCCAGTATCTCCCAGTGCTCCCAGTAACTCCCAGTGCTCCCGGTAACCCCCAGTGCTCCCAGTAACCCCCAGTAACCTCCAGTGATCCCAGTAACTCCCAGTAATTTCCAGTAAGTCCCAGTAATACCCCATGATCCCAGTAACTTCCAATATCTCCCAGTATCTCCCAGTAGTCGCCAGTGATCCCAGTAACCCCCAGTAATTTCCAGTAAGTCCCAGTAATCCCCCATGATCCCAGTAATCCCCAGTACTCCCAGTAACCCTCAGTGCTCCCAGAATCTCCCAGTATCTCCCAGTAACTCCCAGTAACCCCCAGTGATCCCAGTAATCCCCAGTAATTTCCAGTAACTCCCAGTAAGTCCCAGTAATCCCCCATGATCCCAGTAACCCCCAGTGCTCCCCCTGGGAGTCACTTGGAGCACTGGGAGATGTTCTGGGAATTACTGGGGATTAATGGAATCACTGGGAATACTGGGAGCACTGGGAGTTACTGGGAGACACTGGGACAGAGCTGAGCAGGTGACACAGCACAGGTGACATCAATTTTAATGTAAAAAACGGCAAAAACAGCACCAAAAGTGTCCCTAAACCCCCCCGGGGTCATTGTCACCATCGGGGGCACAGGTGGGACCCTGTGTCCCCCCAGGTGTGGAGGGGACAGGTGGGACCCTGTGTCCCCCAGGTGGGGAGGGGACAGGTGGGACCCTGTGTCCCCCCAGGTGGGGAGGGGACAGGAGGGACCCTGTGTCCCCCCCAGGTGTGGAGGGGACAGGTGGGACCCTGTGTCCCCCAGGTGTGGAGGGGACAGGTGGGACCCTGTGTCCCCCCAGGTGTGGAGGGGACAGGTGGGACCCTGTGTCCCCCCAGGTGTGGAGGGGACAGGTGGGACCCTGTGTCCATCCCTGGTGGGGAGGGGACAGGAGGGACCCTGTGTCCCCCAGGTGTCCCCCCAGGTGTGGAGGGGACAGGTGGGACCCTGTGTCCCCTCAGGTGTGGAGGGGACAGGTGGGGCCCTGTGTCCCCCCAGTGTCCATCCCTGGCCAGGGCGGGGTCACAGAGCCATGGAGTGGGTGGGGGAGGGGCCTGTCCCCAAGCCAGCTGCTCTGGGGACGCCATTCCAGGGATTTGTCCCCAAAATCCAGCTCCACCTGCCCTTCCCCAGCAGGAAACCCCTCCTCGTGTCCTGGAGCTCCAGGACCTCGTCCCAAGTCCCTCTCCACCTCCTCCGTGGGCTCTCAGGTGTCCCTGGATCCTTCTCCAGGTGGGACACCAGGCTGGGATACCTGGATGGGACACCTGGATGGGGACACCTGGATGGGGACACCTGGATGGGGACACCTGGATGGGACACCAGGACCTTTCACCAAACCAGTCCCAGGTCCATCCCCAGCTCCTGGGTCACTCTCAGGTGTCCCTGGATCCTTCTCCAGGTGCGACACCTCAACTCCATCCAGCCCTCCGAGCATCTCCATGGCCACTCATGGTCCATCCGTCCAATCATCTCCATGGTCACTCATGGTCCATCCATCCAATCATCTCCATGGTCACTCATGGTCCATCCGTCCAATCATCTCCATGGCCTCTCATGGTCCATCCGTCCAATCCCTGTTGTAGAACATTCCAGGGGTCCCACCAGGTCAATGACATCACCACCCTCATGGTCCATCCGTCCAATCATCTCCATGGCCACTCATTCTCCATCCATCCAATCCCGGTGCCCAACTCAGTCCCAGAACATTCTGGGGGTCCCATCAGGTCAATGACATCACCAACCTCATGGTCCATCCATCCAATCAACCTCGATGGCCTCTCATGGTCCATCCGTCCAATCCCTGTTCTAGAACATTCCAGGGGTCCCACCAGCTCAATGGCATCATCACCCTCATTGTCCAGCCCTCTGAGCATCTCCATGGCCAATCACAGCATGGTCCATCTGTCCAATCCCAGTGCCCAGCAGAGTTCCAGAACATTCCAGGGGTCCCATCAGATCATCACCCTCATTGTCCATCCATCCAAGCATCTCCATGGCCACTCATGGTCCATCTGTCCAATCCCTGTTCTAGAACATTCCAGGGATCCCATCAGGTCAATGACATCATCACCCTCAATGTCCAGCCCTCTGAGCATCTCCATGGCCAATCACGGCGTGGTCCATCCATCCAATCATCTCCATGGCCACTCATGGTCCATCCATCCAATCCCAGTGCCCAGCAGTTCCAGAACATTCCAGGGGTCCCATCAGATCAATGACATCATCACCTTCATGGTCCATCCATCCAATCATCCCCATGGCCACTCATGGTCCATCCATCCAATCCCAGTGCCCAGCAGAGTTCCAGAACATTCCGGGGGTCCCACCAGATCAATGACATCATCATCCTCATGGTCCATCCATCCAATCCCTGTGCCCAGCTCAGTTCCAGAACATTCCGGGGGTCCCATCAGGATCTGTCCCTGATCCCGCTTCTGCCTGGACCCCCAGGCGTCCCCCACATCCCCGTGCCCTTCTCCTGTCACCAGGAACGTCCCCACAACCTCCGGAACCCCATGGAGATCCCCTCACCCCGGCTGCTCCACCGAGGGGCCCCCAGGGCCCCCCTCACAGCCCTGCAAGGGGCTGGGCCCCCTCCTCAGGCCGGGTGAGCAGGGCCAGCACCTGCCATGCCCTGCCATGTGCCCAGTCCGGGCTCCAATGGTGGCCCTGATGGTGGCCCTGGTGGCAGTCCCAGTGGTGGCAGTCCCAGTGATGGCCCTGGGGGCAGCCCTGGTGGTGGCCCTGGTGATGACCCCAGTGGTGACCCCAGTGGCAGCCAAGATGGTGGCCTTGGTGGCAGCCCAGGTGGTGGCCCTGGTGATGGCCCCGGTGATGGCCCTGGTGATGGCCCCGGTGGTGGCCCCGGTGCCAGCCCAGATGTTGGCCCTGCTGGTTGCCCTGGTGGCGGTCCTAGTGCTGGCCCCGATGGTGGCGCTGGTGATGGTCCTGGTGGTGGCCCCAGTGGTGGCCCAGATGGTGGCCCTGGAGGCAGTTCCAGTGGTGGCCCTGGAGGCAGTTCCAGTGGCCCTGCTGGCAGTGGTGGCCCCGGTGGCAGCCCAGATGGTGGCCCTGGTGGTGGCCCTGGTGGCAGTCCTAGTGAAGGTCCTGGTGGTAGTCCTGATGCTGGCCCTGGTGGCAGCCCGGTGGTGGCCCTGGTGGCAGCCCTGGTGGCAGCCCTGGTGGTGGCCCCGGTGGTGGCCCTGGTTGTAGTCCTGATGGTGGCCCTGGTGGTAGCCCAGGTGATGGTCCTGCTGGTGGCCCCGATGGTGGCCCCAACGTCAGCCTGGGTGGTGTCCCTGCTGGTGGCCCCGATGGCGGTCCTGGTGGCAGTCCCAGTGGTGGCAGTCCCAGTGATGGCCCTGGTGGCAGCCCTGGTGGTGGCCCTGGTGATGGCCCTGCTGGTGGCCCTGGTGGCATCGCAGATGGTGGCCCTGGTGATGGCCCCAGTGCAGGAGGCCCTGGTGGCAGCCCAGATGGTGGCCCTGGTGGCATCGCAGATGGTGGCCCTGGTGGCAGCCCAGATGGTGTCCCTGGTGGCAGTCCCAGTGGTGGCAGTCCCAGCGATGGCCCCGGTGGCAGCCCCGGTGGTGGCCCTGGTGGCAGCCCTGGTGGCGGCCCCGATGGTGGCCCTGGTGACAGTCCCAGAGATTGCCCTGGTGGCAGCCCCGGTGGCAGCCCAGATGGTGGCGCCGGTGATGGCCCCGATGGTGGCCCTGGTGGCGGCCCCAGCGGTGGCCGCGGTGGCAGCCCGGGTGACGGCCCTAGCGCCAGCACAGACGGTGGCCCTGGTGGCAGCGCCAGCGCTGTCCCCGGTGTCCCCGCGTGCGCGGTGGCGGCGTGGCGCTCCAGGAGGGTGCGGTGCGAGAACCCGCGGCGGCAGAGGCGGCACTGGAAGCGCTCGGGGCGGTGCGTGCGCATGTGCACGTTCAGGGAGCTCTTCTGCGTGAAGCGCTTGCAGCACACGGAGCACTGGAAGGCGCGGACGCCCGTGTGCGTCACCATGTGCTTGAGCAGGTAGTCCCGGAGCGAGAAGGAGCGCCAGCAGATGGAGCACTGGTGGGGCTTCTCACCTGTGGGGAGGGAAATGGGCAGCTGGGGTCAGTACTGGTCAGTGTGGGGCAGTAATGGTCAGTGTGGGGCAGTGTGGGGCAGTACTGGTCAGTGTGGGGCAGTACAGGTCAGTGTGGGGCAGTGTGGTCAGTGTGGTCAGTACTGGTCAGTGTGGGGCAGTGTGGGTCAGTACTGGTCAGTGTGGGGCAGTGTGGGTCATTGTGAGGCAGTACTGGTCAGTGTGGGTCAGTACTGGTCAGTGTGGTCAGTACTGGTCAGTGTGGGTCAGTGTGGTCAGTACTGGTCAGTGTGGGGCAGTGTGGTCAGTGTGGGGCAGTACTGGTCAGTGTGGGGCAGTGTGGGTCAGTACTGGTCAGTACTGGTCAGTGTGGGTCAGTGTGGGTCAGTACTGGTCAGTGTGGTCAGTACTGGTCAGTGTGGTCACCATGTGCTTGAGCAGGTAGTCCCGGAGCGAGAAGGAGCGCCAGCAGATGGAGCACTGGTGGGGCTTCTCACCTGTGGGGAGGGAAATGGGCAGCTGGGGTCACTGTGGGGCAGTAATGGTCAGTGTGGGGCAGTACTGATCATTGTGGGGCAGTACTGGTCAGTGTGGGTCAGTATTGGTCAGTGTGGTCAGTACTGGTCAGTGTGGGTCAGTGTTGGTCAGTACTGGTCAGTGTGGGGCAGTACTGGTCAGTGTGGTCAGTACTGGTCAGTGTGGGTCATTGTGGGGCAGTGTGGGTCTGTGTGGGTCAGTGTGGGTCAGTACTGGTCAGTGTGGGGCAGTACTGGTCAGTGTGGTCAGTACTGGTCAGTGTGGTCACCATGTGCTTGAGCAGGTAGTCCCGGAGCGAGAAGGAGCGCCAGCAGATGGAGCACTGGTGGGGCTTCTCACCTGTGGGGAGGGAAATGGGCAGCTGGGGTCACTGTGGGCAGTACTGGTCAGTGTGGGGCAGTGTGGGGCAGTACTGGTCAGTGTGGTCAGTACTGGTCAGTGTGGGGCAGTGTGGGGCAGTGTGGGTCAGTACTGGTCAGTGTGGGGCAGTACTGGTCAGTGTGGGTCAGTGTGGGGCAGTACTGGTCAGTGTGGGTCAGTACTGGTCAGTGTGGTCAGTACTGGTCAGTGTGGGTCAGTGTGGTCAGTACTGGTCAGTGGGGCAGTGTGGTCAGTGTGGGGCAGTGTGGGTCAGTACTGGTCAGTGTGGTCAGTACTGGTCAGTGTGGGTCAGTGTGGGGCAGTGCTGGTCAGTGTGGGGCAGTGTGGTCAGTACTGGTCAGTGTGGTCAGTACTGGTCAGTGTGGTCAGTACTGGTCAGTGTGGGGCAGTACTGGTCAGTGTGGGTCTGTGTGGGTCAGTGTGGGTCAGTACTGGTCAGTGTGGGTCAGTACTGGTCGGTGTGGGGCAGTGTGGGTCAGTACTGGTCAGTGTGGGGCAGTACTGGTCAGTGTGGGTCAGTGTGGTCAGTACTGGTCAGTGTGGTCAGTACTGGTCAGTGTGGTCACCATGTGCTTGAGCAGGTAGTCCCGGAGCGAGAAGGAGCGCCAGCAGATGGAGCACTGGTGGGGCTTCTCACCTGTGGGGAGGGGAACAGGTGAGCTGGGGTCACTGTGGGGCAGTGTGGGTCATTGTGGGGCAGTACTGGTCAGTGTGGGTCAGTGTGGTCAGTACTGATCAGTGGGGCAGTGTGGTCAGTGTGGGTCAGTGTGGGGCAGTGTGGGGCAGTACTGGTCAGTGTGGTCAGTACTGGTCAGTGTGGGTCAGTACTGATCAGTGTGGGTCAGTGTGGTCAGTACTGGTCAGTGTGGGGCAGTGTGGGTCAGTGTGGGGCAGTACTGGTCAGTGTGGGGCAGTGTGGTCAGTACTGGTCGGTGTGGGTCAGTACTGGTCAGTGTGGGGCAGTGTGGTCAGTACTGGTCAGTGTGGGGCAGTACTGGTCAGTGTGGGGCAGTGTGGTCAGTACTGGTCAGTGTGGGGCAGTGTGGGTCATTGTGAGGCAGTACTGGTCAGTGTGGTCAGTACTGGTCAGTGTGGTCACCATGTGCTTGAGCAGGTAGTCCCGGAGCGAGAAGGAGCGCCAGCAGATGGAGCACTGGTGGGGCTTCTCACCTGTGGGGAGGGGAACAGGTGAGCTGGGGTCACTGTGGGGCAGTACTGGGCAGTGTGGGGCAGTACTGGGCAGTGTGGTCAGTACTGGTCAGTGTGGGGCAGTGTGGTCAGTGTGGGTCAGTGTGGGTCAGTACTGGTCAGTGTGGGTCAGTGTGGGTCAGTACTGGTCAGTGTGGTCAGTACTGGGCAGTGTGGGGCAGTACTGGTCAGTGTGGGGCAGTACTGGGCAGTGTGGTCAGTACTGGTCAGTGTGGGTCAGTACTGGTCAGTGTGGGGCAGTGTGGGTCAGTGTGGGGCAGTACTGGTCAGTGTGGGGCAGTGTGGTCAGTGTGGTCAGTGTGGGGCAGTACTGGTCAGTGTGGGGCAGTGTGGGTCAGTGTGGGGCAGTACTGGTCAGTGTGGGGCAGTGTGGTCAGTGTGGGGCAGTACTGGTCAGTGTGGGTCAGTACTGGTCAGTGTGGGGCAGTGTGGGGCAGTGTGGGTCAGTACTGGTCAGTGTGGGGCAGTGTGGTCAGTGTGGTCAGTGTGGGGCAGTACTGGTCAGTGTGGGGCAGTGTGGTCAGTACTGGTCAGTGTGGGGCAGTACTGGTCAGTACTGGTCAGTGTGGGGCAGTACTGGTCAGTGTGGTCAGTACTGGTCAGTGTGGGTCATTGTGGGGCAGTGTGGGTCTGTGTGGGTCAGTGTGGTCAGTACTGGTCAGTGGGGCAGTGTGGTCAGTGTGGGTCAGTGTGGTCAGTGTGGTCAGTGTGGGTCAATGTGGGTCAATGTGGGTCAATATGGGTCAGTGTGGGTCAGTGTGGGTCAATAGGGATCAATGTGGGTCAGTGTGGGTCAATGTGGGTCAGTGTGGGTCAGTGTGGATCAATGTGGGTCAGTGTGGGTCAGTGTGGGTCAATGTGGGTCAGTGTGGGTCAATGTGGGTCAGTGTGGGTCAGTGTGGATCAATGTGGGTCAATAGAAACCAATGTGGGTCAATATGGATCGCTGTTGGTCAGTGTGGATCAATGTGGGTCAATGTGGGTCAATGTGGGTCAGTGTGGGTCAGTGTAGGTCAATGTGGGTCAATGTGGGTCAGTGTGGGTCAGTGTGGGTCAATGTGGGTCAGTGTGGGTCAGTGTGGGCCAATGTGGGTCAATGTGGGCCAATGTGGGTCAGTGTGGGTCAGTATGGATCAGTGTGGGTCAATGTGGGTCAGTGTGGGTCAGTGTGGGTCAATAGGGATCAATGTGGGTCAGTGTGGACCAGTGTGGGTCAGTGTGGGTCAATGTGGGTCAGTGTGGGTCAGTGTGGGTCAGTGTGGGTCAATGTGGACTGTACCAGGTCAACATGGGCCAAAACGAGGCCCTAGGACCCCCAAGTGTGCCCCCAGCTGTGTCCCCATGTCCCCAGGTGTGTCCCCAGGTGTGTCCCCATGTCCCCAGGTGTCCCCAAGTGTGTCCCCAGGTGTGTCCCCATGTCCCAGGTGTGTCTGTGTCTGTCCCCAGGTGTGTCCCCATGTTCCAGGTGTGTCCCCAGGTGTGCTCACCTGAGTGGATGAACATGTGCTTGCTGTAGTTCTTGTGGGTGTGTCCCCATGTCCCCAGGTGTGTCCCCGGGTGTGTCCCCATGTCCCCAGGTGTGTCCCCATGTCCCCAGCTGTCCCCAGGTGTGTCCCCAGGTGCGCTCACCTGAGTGGATGAACATGTGCTTGCTGTAGTTCTTGCGGGTGTGTCCCCATGTCCCCAGGTGTGTCCCCATGTCCCAGGTGTGTCCCCAGGTGTGTCCCCATGTCCCCAGCTGTCCCCAGGTGCGCTCACCTGAGTGGATGAACATGTGCTTGCTGTAGTTCTTGTGGGTGTGTCCCCATGTCCCCAGCTGTGTCCCCAGGTGTGTCCCCATGTCCCAGCTGTGTCCCCAGGTGTGTCCCCATGTCCCCAGGTGTGTCCCCAGGTGCGCTCACCTGAGTGGATGAACATGTGCTTGCTGTAGTTCTTGCGGGAGCTGAAGCTCTTCTGGCAGTGCCCGCACTGGTACGGGGGGGGCTGTGCCCGGCTCCGGGGGGCTCCGGGGGGCGCCGGGGGGGCTCTGAGAGCCCCGCCCCCCTCCAGCCCCCCCCCCCCGCCAGGGCGGCGCCACCACCGGGGGGGCCCCGAATCCGACCCCGTCCCCCCCGGGCGCCTCCCAGGGCGGCACCGACGGCGCCTCGGCCACGGCGGCGGCTCCAAAACAGGGCAGGGACAGCGAGGCCACGACGCCTTCCTGGGGGGCTCCTTCATCCTCCGCTTCCTCCTCATCCTCCTCCTCATCATCCTCATCCTCCTCCAGGCGCTCCTCTTTGAGGGGGACAGGCGCCAGGCGCAGCGGCTGCCGCTGCTTGCGGCTGTGCCCGCTGGGGCCGTCCGTGGGCATCTCCGTGGGCATCTCTGTGGGCACTTCCGTGGTCAGTTCTGTGGTCAGTGGTGTGGTCAGTGGTGTGGAGAGTTCAGTGGTCAGGGATGGGGTCAGTGGTGTGGACAGTGGTGTGGACAGTGGTGTGGCCAGCTCTGTGCTCAGTTCTCTGGTCAGCGGTGTGGCCAGCTCTGTGCTCAGTTCTCTGGTCAGCGGTGTGGCCAGCTTTGTGGTCATCTCTGTGGTCATCTCTGTGGTCATCTCTGTGGTCATCTCTGTGGCCATCTCAGCGCTCAGGGCCGGCGTCACCACCCGCGCCTGCGAGATGATCTGCGTGCACTCGCCGATGACGGCCTCGATCTGCAGCACGGAGGCGGCGGTGAGGATGTGCAGCGCCTCGGAGCGCGCCACCACCAGGCTCCCGCTGTACAGGAACTCCACCAGCTGGCGCACGGCCGCCCAGGGCACCACGGGCGGCACCTCGATGGCCGAGTGGCCCAGGCTGAGCTTGTCGTGGAAGAAGGGGCTGCCGGCGGCCAGCACGCAGCGGTGGGCGCGCAGCGAGGCGCCGCGGGCCCGCACCGTCACGTCGCAGAAGTGGCCGCGGGCGCGCTGCCCGTTGAGCGTCCGCAGCAGCGAGCGGCTGAAGTTGTGCAGGTGGATGTAGTGGACGGCGTCCGGCATGGCTGGGACGACGGGGACCGGGGGGGGGACAATGGGGGCACAGAGGACAATGGGGGCAGAGGGATGGTGGGGACACTGGGGAATCAGGGGACACTGGGGACTCAGAGGGATGGTGGGGTTAGAGGCGACAGGGGGACACTGCGGGGACAGGGGACACTGGGGAATCAGGGGACACTGGGGGATAGAGGGGATGGTGGGGACGCTGCGGGTACAGGGGACACTGAGGAATCAGGGGACACTGGGGACTCAGAGGGATGGTGGGGTTAGAGGGGACAGGGGACACTGCGGGGACAGGGGACACTGGGGAATCAGGGGACACTGGGGAATCAGGGGACAATGGGGGTACAGGGATGGTGGGGACACTGCGGGTACAGGGGACACTGGGGGAATCAGGGGACACTGGGGACTCAGAGGGATGGTGGAGTTAGAGGGGACAGGGGACACTGCGGGGACAGGGGACACTGGGGGATAGAGGGGATGGTGGGGACACTGGGGTAGAGGGGACACTGGGGAATCAGGGGACACTGAGGAATCAGAGGGATGGTGGGGTTAGAGGGGACAGGGGGACAATGGGAGACAGGGGACACTGGGGAATCAGGGGATACTGGGGGATAGAGGGGATGGTGGGGACACTGCGGGTACAGGGGACACTGGGGAATCAGGGGACACTGGGGACTCAGAGGGATGGTGGGGTTAGAGGGGACAGGGGACACTGCGGGGACAGGGGACACTGGGGGATAGAGGGGATGGTGGGGACACGGGGACACTGGGATAGAGGGGACAATGGGGATGTAGGGGGGACGGGACAGAGGGGACACTGGGACACAGGGGGGACACTGGGATAGAGGGGACACTGGGACACGGGACACGGGGATGGTGGGGATAGAGGGGACACTGGGACACTGCGGGGACAGGGGACACTGGGGGTACAGGGATGGTGGGGACGCTGCGGGTACAGGGGACACTGAGGAATCAGGGGACACTGGGGACTCAGAGGGATGGTGGGGTTAGAGGCGACAGGGGACACTGCAGGGACAGGGGACACTGCGGGATAGAGGGGATGGTGGGGACACGGGGACACTGGGGTATAGGGGACACTGGGGACACTGGGACACGGGGGGGACACTGGGAGACAGGGGACACTGGGGACTCAGAGGGATGATGGGGTTAGAGGGGATGGGGGACACTGCGGGGACAGGGGACACTGGGGAATCAGGGGACACTGGGGGATAGATAGAGGGGATGGTGGGGACACGGAGGACACAGGGATGGAGGGACACTGGGACACGGGGATGGTGGGGATAGAGGGGACACTGGGACACAGGGGGGACAGAGGGATAGAGGGGACAGAGGAGACACGGAGGACACAGGGATGGAGGGGACACTGGGACACTGGGGATAGAGGGGACACTGGGGACTCAGGGGGATGGTGGGGTTAGAGGGGACAGGGACACTGCGGGGACAGGGGACACTGGGGGATAGAGGGGATGGTGGGGACACTGGGGTAGAGGGGACACTGGGGACTCAGGGGATACTGGGGGATAGAGGGGACAGGGGACACTGCGGGGACAGGGGACACTGGGGAATCAGGGGACACTGGGGGATAGATAGAGGGGATGGTGGGGACACGGAGGACACAGGGATAGAGGGGACACTGGGACACGGGGGGACACTGGGGATAGAGGGGACACTGGGACACAGGGATGGTGGGGTTAGAGGGGACACTGGGGACACTGGGACACCGGGGCGACACTGGGATAGAGGGGACGCTGGGGACACTGGGACACGGGGATGGTGGGGATAGAAGGGACACTGGGACACAGGGGGGACACTGGGGACTCAGGGGGATGGTGGGGTTAGAGGGGACACTGGGGGGCACTGGGATAGAGGGGACACAGGGACAGTGGGGTTAGAGGGGACACAGGGGACACTGGGATAGAGGGGACACTGGGGGACAGAGGGACATGGGGGGACACGGGGATGATGGGGATAGAGGGGACACAGAGACACTGGGACACTGGGGACACTGGGGATAGAGGGGACACAGGGACACTTGGGATAGAGATGGACAGAGGGGACACAGGGACACCGGGGGGGACACAGGGAATAGAGGGGACACTGGGATACTGAGGACTAGGGTGATACAGGGGACAGAGGGGACACTGGGGACACTGGGGACAGCCGGCACAGAGGGGACAGCAGGGACAGAGGGGACACTGCGGGATGGTGGGGTTAGAGGGGACACAGGGGACAATGGGGACACCGGGCTGGCGGTGATGGGGACACACGCGGGGACAGCGGCGAGGCTGGCGGGACCTGGGGACAGAGACACGGGGCTGGTGACGTCACCGGGGACCTGGGGACAGCCCGTGTGACGTCACGACGCGCTGGTGACATCACGCCGAGGGACAGCGCGATGTCCCCGAGCTGTCCCCGCAGCCGGAACCGCCCGAGCCCGTTCCCGCCCCCCCCCCCGGGACCCCTCGGGACCTCCCGGCCCGACCCTGCCCCTCCCCCACCCCAAACCCCCCCCCGGGACCCCTCCCCCACACCTCGCTCCGGCTCCCGCCGCCGCCGCTCTCTGACGTCACTTCCGCCGCAGCGAACCGGAAGCGGATCATAGAGAGGGGCCCAGAGCGCCCCCGCCCGCCATAGAGACGGTAGAGTGGCGGGGGCGCCCCCTGGCGGACCGGGGGTGTGGCGGCTCTTATGGAGCCACGGGGGGACCCCAGTGTCCCCAGAGGGACCCCAATGGGGACCCAAATGTCCCCAGAGGGACCCCAATGTCCCCAGAGGGACCCCAGTGGGGACCCCAGTGTCCCCACAGACCCCACAGGGATCCACATGGGGGCCCCAATGTCCCCAGTATCCCCAAAGGGATCTCCCAATGTCCCCACAGACACCATAGGGATCCCCATGGAGACCCCAACGTCCTCAAAGGGATCCCAATGTCCCCAAAGGGACACCAATGTCCCCAATGTCCCCAATGTCCTCAAAGGGACCCCAATGTCCCCAATGTCCCCAAAGGGACTCCAATGTCCCTACAGACCCCACAGGGATCCCCATGGGGGACCCCAATGTCCCCAATGTCCTCAAAGGGACCCCAATGTCCCCAAAAGGACCCCAATGTCCCTACAGACCGCACAGGGATCCCCATGGGGGACCCCAATGTCCCCAATGTCCTCAAAGGGACCCCAATGTCCCCAATGTCCCCAAAGGGACCCCAATGTCCCTACAGACCGCACAGGGATCCCCATGGGGGACCCCAATGTCCCCAATGTCCTCAAAGGGACCCCAATGTCCCCAGTGTCCCTAAAGGGACCCCAATGTCCCCACAGACACCACAGGGATCCCCATGGGGACCCCAATGTCCCCAAAGGGACCACCCGCAATGGCTCCAATGTCCCCAAAGGGATCCGCCCCAATGTCTCCAGTGTCCCCAAAGGGATCCTCATGAGGACCCCAATGTCCCCAATGTCCTCAAAGGGACCCCAATGTCCCCAATGTCCCCAGTGTCCCCAAAGGGACCCCAATGTCCCCACAGACACCACAGGGATTTCCATGGGGACCCCAATGTCCCCAAAGGGACCTGCCCCAATGTCTCCAGTGTCCCCAAAGGGATCCGCCCCAATGTCTCCAGTGTCCCCAAAGGGATCCTCATGAGGACCCCAATGTCCCCAAAGGGACCCCATGGGGACCCCAATGTCCCCATAGACCCCCACAGAGCTGGACCCCCTGCACACCCTCATAGGGACCCCATGGTGGTCCCTGTCCATCCATGGTGACCCATGTTGGTTCCTGTAGACTCCTGTTGGTCCATGGTGACTCACGTTGACTACTCCTGGTCCATCTCCATCCATGGTGACCCACATTGACTCGTTGACCCCTGTCCATCCATGGTGACCCACATTGACTCGTTGACCCCTGTCCATCCATGGTGACCCACATTGACTCATTGATCCCTGTCCATCTGTGGTGACCCACATTGACTCGTTGATCCCTGTTGATCTGTGGTGACCCACATTGACTCATTGACCCCTGTCCATCCATGGTGACCCACATTGACTCATTGACCCCTGTCCATCCATGGTGACCCACATTGACTCGTTGACCCCTGTCCATCCATGGTGACCCACACTGACTCGTTGACCCCTGTCCATCCATGGTGACCCACACTGACTCGTTGACCCCTGTCCATCCATGGTGACCCACACTGACTCGTTGACCCCTGTCCATCCATGGTGACCCACGGTGACTCGTTGACCCCTATCCATCCGTGGTGACCCACATTGACTCGTTGACCCCTGTCCATCCATGGTGACCCACATTGACTCATTGACCCCTGTCCATCCATGGTGACCCACATTGACTCATTGACCCCTGTCCATCCATGGTGACCCACACTGACTCATTGACCCCTGTCCATCCATGGTGACCCATGTTGACTCCTCGTGGTCCATTTTGACCCATGGTGACCCACGCTGACTCCTCTTGGCCCACGATGGTCCATGTCCATCCGTGTGGACCAAAGTGGATTCCTGTTGATCCATGGTGACCCTCGCTGACTCCTCTTGGGCACATTTTGACCCGTGTCCATCCATGGTGACCCACATTGATTCATTGACTACTGTTGGTCCATGGTGACCCACATTGACTCCTCTTGATCCATCTCCATCCATGTTGACCCATGTTGACCCATGTTGACCCACGTTGACTCCTGTTGTTCCATGGTGACCCATGGTGACTCCTCTTGGTCCATCTTGATCCATGTCCGTCCATGTTGACCCATGTCGATTCGTTGACCCCTATCAATCCAAGGTGATCCACGTTGACTCCTTGTGGTCCATTTTGACCCATGGTGACCCATGGTGACTCCTCTTGGCCCACGATGGTCCGCGTCCATCCATGGTGACCCACATTGATTCCTGTTGACCCATCTTGATCCATGGTGATCTACACTGATTCCTCTTGGTCCATCTTGACCCACATTGACTCCTCTTGGCCCATCTTGATTCATCTCCATCCGTGTGGACTCACACTGGCTCGTTGACCGCTCTCCATCCATGGTGATCCACGTTGACTCATCTTGGTCCACGTCCATCCGTGCTGACCCACGGTGACTCCTCCTGGTCCATCTTGATCAGGGTCCACCCATGTTGACCCACATTGACCTGTGGTGACCCATAGTGACCCCTGGTGACCCCTGGTGACCCTAGTGTCACCCTGTGTCTCTCCGAGTTGTCCCCACCATACAGGTGACCCCAGCGATGACCCTTGTGTGACCCCACGACCCCCAGCTGTCCCCTCTGTTCCACCCAACCCCAGCCCATGCCAGGGGTCAGTGACCCCTGTGACATCACCCAGAGCTTTCACCACGGTGACGTCAGACCCAGCACCATGACATCACACCCAGCACAGTGACGTCACACCCACCACTGTGACATCAGTGACGTTACAGTAAAAACTCAATAAAACCCAGTAAAACCCAGTATAAAGCAGTATGGACCAGTATAAACCAGTACGGACCAGTATAGCCAGTATAAAGCAGTATGGACCAGTACAGACCAGTATAAACCAGTATAATGAGTAGACAAACCAGTATGGACCAATATAAACCCGTATGGGCCAGAAAAAACCAGTATATACCAGTATAAACTAATACAAACCAGTACAAACCAGTCAAGACCAGTACAACCCAGTACAGACCAGTGCATACCAGTATAAATTAATACAAACCAGTACAGACCAGTATAACCCAGTAAAAGCCGCTAGACGAGGCTCGGGCTGGGTACTACATTACCCAGCGTGCACCGCGCGTGTTTCCGGGGGGAAGGAGGGGCGTGGCCTGGCCCAGTGAGACGCGGCCTAATTGGCAGCGGCGAAGGCGGGAAGGCGGAGGGGGCGTGGCCTCGTGAGGCGGAGGGGGCGTGGCCTCGTGAGGCGGCGCGGCCCGGGCGTTGCGCGGCGGCGGCGGCAGCGCCGGGCCCGGTTCTGGCCCGATTCTAACCCGGTCCTAACCCGGCTCCGGCCCCGGCAGAGCCCCCGCGAGCCCCGCAGGTGAGCGGGGAGCGGGGCAGGAGGAAGAGGAGGAGGAGGAAGCGGCGGGGCCGCGGCGGCGGCGCCTGCGCGGGGCGGGCCTGAAGGAGGCGGGGCCTGAAGGGGCTGAGGGGAAAGGGGCGGGGCCTGAGGGCGGAGAGGGGCGGGACAGGGCCTATAGAAAGGGGCGGGGCCTAGTGCGATCTGGCCACGCCCCCGGTTTGGCCACGCCCTCCAGATCGGCTTTGGGGTCTCACCTGCACACCTGGGATGGGGCTGGGGTCTCACGTGTCCCCCCATGTCAGGTTTGGGGTCTCACCTGTGTCTCTCATGTCCAGGCTTTTACCTGCCCAACTGCACTGGGTGTGGGGTCTCACCTGTGCTGGGATTGGGCTCTCACCTGTCCCCATGTTTTGGGGTCTCACCTGTTCCTGTGTTTCATGTCTGGGCTCTCACCTGTCTCAGGTTTGGGCTTTCAGCTGTGTCAGGTGTCGGCTCTCACCTGTCCCCGGGTTTGGGTCTGGGCTCTCATGTGAGTCAGGTGCAGGCTCTAACCTGTCCCAGGTCTGGGCTCTCACCTGTCCCAGGTCTGAGCTCTCACCTGCAGCCGTGTCCCCCCCAGGTGCGGCCATGGCGGGCGCGGCGCCCCCCGCAGGTGCCCCCGAGCACCCCTTCACCTGCCGGGAGTGCGGCAAATCCTTCCGCTGGTCCTCGCGCCTGGCGCATCACCTGCGCAGCCACACAGGTGAGCGCCCCTACAAGTGCCCCGAGTGCCCCAAGGCCTTCAAGGGCTCCTCCGCCCTCCTCTACCACCTGCGGGGCCACACAGGTGAGCGCCCCTACACCTGCTCCACCTGCGGCAAGAGCTTCAAGCGCTCCTCGCTGCTGCAGACTCACCTGCGCGTGCACACGGGGCTGCGCGCCTTCAGGTGCGCCCAGTGCGGCCTCACCTTCAAGTGGGCGTCGCACTACCAGTACCACCTGCGGCAGCACTCAGGTGAGCGGCCCTACCGCTGCCCCACCTGCCCCAAGGCTTTCAAGAACTCCTCCAGCCTGCGGCGCCACCGCCACACCCACACAGGTGAGCGCCCGCACACCTGCGACACCTGCGGCAAGGGCTTCGCCCAGGCCACCAACCTGCGGCAGCACCTGCGGGTGCACACGGGCGAGCGGCCGTACACCTGCGCCACCTGCGGCAAGAGCTTCACGCACTCGTCCAACCTGCACCTGCACCGGCGCACGCACGGCCCCGCCCCGCAGTGCCCCGCCTGCGCCACGCCCTTGGCCTCGCGCGCCTGCCCGCAGCGGCACCTGCAGGGCCCCGCCCCGCCCGGCGCCGCCTCACCTGAGCCGCTCTGGAGGCCGCTGGGGCTCACCTGTGCCGAGCAGGAGGCGACGGCGACGCCGGCCACTCCCCCGGCCCCGCCCCACCGCTGCCTCACCTGCGGCAAGAGCTTCAAGAACGGCTCGGGGCTGGCGCGACACCTGCCCGGCCACGAGCGGCCCAGAGCCCCGCCCGCGCCAGGTGAGGCCGAGGCGCCGGCCCCGCCCGAGCGGCCGTACAGGTGCGGCGAGTGCGGCAAGGCCTTCAAGGGCTCCTCGGGGCTGCGCTACCACCTGCGCGACCACACAGGTGAGCGCCCCTACACCTGCTCCACCTGCGGCAAGAGCTTCAAACGCTCCTCGCTGCTGCAGACTCACCTGCGCGTGCACACGGGGCTGCGCGCCTTCAGGTGCGCCCAGTGCGGCCTCACCTTCAAGTGGGCGTCGCACTACCAGTACCACCTGCGGCAGCACTCAGGTGAGCGGCCCTACCGCTGCCCCACCTGCCCCAAGGCCTTCAAGAACTCCTCCAGCCTGCGGCGCCACCGCCACACCCACACGGGCGAGCGCCCGCACACCTGCGACACCTGCGGCAAGGGCTTCGCCCAGGCCACCAACCTGCGGCAGCACCTGCGGGTGCACACGGGCGAGCGGCCGTACACCTGCGCCACCTGCGGCAAGAGCTTCACGCACTCGTCCAACCTGCACCTGCACCGGCGCACGCACTCGGCGGCGCGGCCCTTCCGCTGCCCCACCTGTCCCAAGGCCTTCGTCATGGCCGCCTACCTGCAGAGACACCTGCGCACGCACGGCCCCGCCCCGCGCCGCGCACCTGGCGGCGCCACGCCTGGCACTGCTGCACCTGTGCCCGCCGGCGCTTACCTGGTGCTGCCCGGTCCCGGCGGAGCCTCCCCGCGCAAGGTGCTGCTGGTGGCGGCCACGCCCGGGCACGCCCGGCCGCACCTGGCGCAGGTGGGCCGGGGGCAGCGCACCTGGCAGAGCGTCCTGCTCCTACCTGGGGCGGGGAGGGAGGGGACGGCAGCGGGGCTGCGGCTGCAGGTGGCTGAGGTGGCAGGGGTGGCAGGTGTGACAGGTGTGACAGGTGTGACAGGTGTAGGTGTGACAGGTGTGACAGGTGTGGGTGTGACAGGGGTGACAGGTGTGACAGGTGTAGGGGTGACAGGTGTGACAGGTGTGACAGGTGTGACAGGTGTAGGGGTGACAGGTGTGACAGGTGTAGGGGTGACAGGTGTGACAGGTGTGACAGGTGTGACAGGTGTGACAGGTGTAGGGGTGACAGGTGTGACAGGTGTGACAGGGGTGACAGGTGTGACAGGTGTGACAGGTGTGACAGGTGTGACAGGTGTAGGGGTGACAGGTGTGACAGGTGCAGGTGTGACAGGTATGACAGGTGTTGGTGTCACAGGGGTCCCAGGTGTGGCAGGGCTTACAGGTATGACAGGTGTTACAAGTCCTGGTGTGACAGGTATGACAGGTGTTGGTGTCCCAGGTGTGACAGGTGTAGGTGTGACAGGGGTCACAGGTGTCACAGGGCTTACAGGTGTGGCAGGTGTAGGTGTGGCAGGTGTGACAGGTGTAGGTGTCACAGGGGTCACAGGTGTGACAGGTGTGACAGGTGTCCAGCTCCAGGTGCTGCCAGTGGCCACAGAGGTCACCAGTGTGCAAGGTGGGGAGCTGACAGGTGTGACAGGTGTAGGTGTGACAGGGGTGACAGGGGTCCCAGGTGTAGGTGTAACAAGTGTGACAGGTGTAGGTGTGACAAGTGTGACAGGCGTGACAAATGCAGGTGTGACAGGTCTCACAGGTGTGACAGGTGTGACAGGTGTGACAGGTCTCACAGGTGTGACAGGTGTGGCAGGTGTGACAGGTGTGACAAATGCAGGTGTGACAGGTCTCACAGGTGTGGCAGGTGTGACAGGTGTGACAGGGGTGCAGCTCCAGGTGCTCCCAGTGCCTTCAGAAGTCACCAGCGTCCAGCTCCAGGCAGGTGAGGTCACCAACGTCCAGCTCCAGGTGTTGCCACCGCCACCTCCTGGTGCCACCAATGTCCAGCTCCAGGTGCTGCCAGCACCACCTGAGGTCACCAACGTCCAGCTCTGCACAGGTGAGGTGACCAATGTCCAGCTCCAGGTGTTGCCACCACCACCCCCAGGTGGCACAGGTGTGCAGCTCCAGACAGGTGAGGTGACCAATGTCCAGCTCCAGGTGTTGCCACCACCACCTGAGGTGGCCAACGTCCACCTCCAGGTGTTGCCACCACCCCCAGGTGGCACAGGTGTGCAGCTGCAGGCAGGTGAGGTGACCAATGTCCAGCTCCAGGCCCTGCCGCTGTCCTCAGGTGTCACCAACGTGCAGCTCCAGGTGTTGCCACCACCTGCGGGTGGCACCAATGTCCAGCTCCAGACAGGTGAGGTGGCCAATGTCCAGCTCCAGGTGTTGCCACCACTTGCAGGTGGCACAGGTGTCCAGCTCCAGGCCACTGAGCTGCCCAGTGTCCACCTGGAGACCACAGAGGTGACCGATGTCCACCTGGACATCTCAGAGGTGACCGATGTCCACCTGGAGACCGTGGAGGAGGTGCCCAGTGGCCACCTGGAGACCTCAGAGGTGACCGATGTCCACCTGGAACCCACTGAGATGAGCTGTGCCCACCTGGACATGTCACAGCTGCCCAGTGCCCACCTGGGGACCACTGAGGTGACCGATGTCCACCTGGACACCTCAGAAGTGACCGATGGCCACCTGGAGGCCAATGACATGACCGATGTCCACCTGCAGACCACCCAGATGACCAGTGCTCACCTGGAACCCACAAAGGTGCCCAGTGTCCACCTGGAGACCTCAGAGGTGCCCTCAGACCACCTGGAGATGACTGAGGAGGTGCCCGGTGCCCACCTGGACACCTCAGTGGTGCCCAGTGCCCACCTGGAGATGAGTGAGATGACCGATGTCCACCTGGGGACCACTGAGGTGACCAGGGTCCACCTGGAGACCACCCATATGACCGATGTCCACCTGGAGACATCAGGGGTGACCAATGCCCACCTGGACACCACGGAAGTGACTGATGTCCACCTGGAGACCTCAGAGATGACCAATGGCCACCTGGACATTTCAGAGGTGCCCTCTGACCACCTGGACATCATGGAAGTGACCGATGCCCACCTGGATGTGTCAGAGGTGACCGATGTCCATCTGGACACCACCCAGATGCCCAGTGCCCACCTGGCCACCTCAGAGGTGACCAATGTCCACCTGGACACCACGGAAGTGACCAATGTCCACCTGGGGACCACGGAGGTGCCCAGTGCCCACCTGGACACCTCAGAAGTGCCCAGTGCCCACCTGGAGACCTCAGAGGTGCCCAGTGCACACCTGGAACCCACCCAGATGACCAACGTCCACCTGGACACCACGGAAGTGACCGATGTCCACCTGGACACCGCGGAGGTGACCGATGTCCACCTGGAGACCTCAGAACTGCCCAGTGTTCACCTGGAGACCTCAGAGGTGCCCAATGTCCACCTGGAGACCATGGAGGAGGTGCCCAGTGCCCACCTGGACACCTCAGAACTGCCCAGTGCCCACCTGGACATGTCAGAGGTGCCCAGTGCCCACCTGGAAGTGCCCAGTGCCCACCTGGACACCTCAGAACTGCCCAGTGCCCACCTGGACATGTCAGAGGTGCCCAATGTCCACCTGGAAGTGCCCAGTGCCCACCTGGAGACCCCTGAGGAGGTGCCCGGTGCCCACCTGGACACGTCAAAGGTGCCAGGTGCCCACCTGGAGCCCACAGAGGTGCACCTGGAACCCCCCTAGGAAGTGCCCGGTGCCCACCTGGAGACCTTGGAGCTGCCCAGTGCCCACCTGGAGACCACAGAGGTGCCCAGTGCCCACCTGGACACACCTTGGAGGTTCCCAGTGCCCACCTGGAGGTGCCCAGTGCCCACCTGGAGACACCTGGGAGGTGCCCAGTGCTCACCTGGACATGTCAGAGGTGCCCTCTGCCCACCTGGACACACCTTGGAGCTGCCCAGTGCCCACCTGGAGACCACAGAGGTGCCCAGTGCCCACCTGGAGACACCTGGGAGGTGCCCAGTGCTCACCTGGAGGTGCCCCATGTCCACCTGGGCATGTCAGAGGTGCCCAGTGCCCACCTGGAGACACCTGGGAGGTGCCCAGTGCTCACCTGGAGGTGCCCAGTGCTCACCTGGAGACCATGGACATTCCCAATGCCCACCTGGACACACCTTGGAGGTGCCCAGTGCCCACCTGCAGGTGCCCAGTGCCCACCTGGAGACCACAGAGGTGCCCAGTGCCCACCTGGACACACCTTGGAGGTGCCCAGTGCCCACCTGGACATGTCAGAGGTGCCCTCTGCCCACCTGGACACACCTTGGAGGTGCCCAGTGCCCACCTGGAGACCACAGAGGTGCCCAGTGCCCACCTGAACACACCTTGGAGGTGCCCAGTGCTCACCTGGAGGTGCCCAGTGCCCACCTGGAGGTGCCCAGTGCCCACCTGGAGACACCTGGGAGGTGCCCAGCGCTCACCTGGAGGTGCCCAGCACTCACCTGGAGACCATGGACATTCCCAGTGCCCACCTGGACACACCTTGGAGGTGCCCAGTGCCCACCTGGAGACCACAGAGGTGCCCAGTGCCCACCTGGACACACCTTGGAGGTGCCCAGTGCTCACCTGGAGGTGCCCAGTGCCCACCTGGAGACACCTGGGAGGTGCCCAGTGCCCACCTGGAGACCACAGAACTGCCCAGTGCCCGCCTGGACACACCTTGGAGGTGCCCAGCGCTCACCTGGAGGTGCCCAGCGCTCACCTGGAGACCATGGACATTCCCAGTGCCCACCTGGACACACCTTGGAGGTGCCCAGTGCCCACCTGGAACCCACTGAGAAAGTGCCCAGTGTTCACCTGAAGACCAAGCAGGTGCCCAGTGCCCACCTGGACACATCAATGCTCACCTGGGCATGGCACAGGTGCCCTGTGCCCACCTGGACACATCAATGCCCACCTGGACACACCTTGGAGGTGCCCAGTGCCCACCTGGAACTCCCCAGGTGCTCCTGGCCTGGGGGACCCCGTGCCCCACCCTGTGCACACCTGTGCCCGCAGGTGAGGGGGGGTGCCAGGGGGTACCTGAGGGGTGCCAGGGGGTACCTGGGGGTACCTGAGCTCACCTGCCCAGGTGAGGGGTGCCAGGGGGGTAACTGGGGGGTGCCAGGGGGTACCTGGGGGGTACCTGAGGGGTACCAGGGGGTACCTGGGGGGTACCTGAGCTCACCTGCCCAGGTGAGGGGTGCCAGGGGGTACCTGAGAGGTGCCAGGGGGTACCTGGGGGGGTACCTGAGCTCACCTGCCCAGGTGAGGCCGTTCCCGCGTTCCCCCCGTGTCAATAAAGGCGCCCCTCCCCCCCCCAGTGCGGTTTGTGCTTCCGGGAGGGGCGGGGCCAAGGGAAGGGGCGGGGCCATGGCCAAAGGGAGGGAGGGGCCAATGGGGAGGGAGGGGCTAAAAGAAGGGGAGGGGCCAATGGGGAGGATGGGGTGGGGGCAATTGGGGCGGGGCCAAGATGTAAAAAGTGGGAGGGGCCAATGGAGGGGGCGGGGCCAAGGGGTTACTGGGCTGTTTTAGCTCCCAGTATGGACCAGTAAGGCCCCAGTCCATCCCAGTATGGCCCCAGTCATTCCCAGTATGGCCCCAGTCATTCCCAATATGGCCCCAGTCCATCCCAGTATGGCCCCAGTCCATCCCAGTATGGCCCCAGTCCATCCCAGTGTGGCCCCAGTCATTCCCAGTGTGGCCCCAGTCCGTCCCAGTATGGCCCAGTCCATCCCAGTATGGCCCCAGTCCATCCCAGTATGGCCCCAGTGATTCCCAGTATGGCCCCAGTCCATCCCAGTGTGGCCCCAGACCATCCCAGTATGGCCCCAGTCCATCCCAGTATGGCTCCAGTGATTCCCAATATGGCCCCAGTCCATCCCAGTGTGGCCCCAGTCATTCCCAGTATGGCCCCAGTCCATCCCAGTATGGCCCCAGTCATTCCCAGTATGGCCCCAGTCCATCCCAGTATGGCCCCAGTCCATCCCAGTATGGCCCCAGTCATTCCCAGTATGGCCCAGTCCATCCCAGTATGGCCCCAGTCCATCCCAGTATGGCCCAGTCCATCCCAGTATGGCCCCAGTGATTCCCAGTATGGCCCCAGTCCATCCCAGTATGGCCCCAGTGATTCCCAGTATGGCCCCAGTCCATCCCAGTATGGCCCCAGTCATTCCCAGTATGGCCCCAGTCCATCCCAGTATGGCCCCAGTTCATCCCAATGTGGCCCCAGTCCATCCCAGTATGGCCCCAGTCCATCCCAGTATGGTCCCAGTATGGTCCCAGTCTGGTCCCAGTATCCCACAGTATGGCTCAGTGCTCCCCAGTCCCCTCCCAGTTCCTCCCAGTTTCGCCCCAGTCTCTCCCAGTTCCCCCCTGGTCCCTCCCAGTTCCCCCCCAGTCTCTCCCAGTCCATCCCAGTGCCCCCCAGTTTACTCACAGTCTGTCCCAGTCCCCTCCCAGTCCCTCCCAGTTTACTCACAGTCCATCCCAGTCCCTCCCAGTCCATCCCAGTCCATCCCAGTTCCCCCCAGTCCCTCCCAGTCCCTCCCAGTCCCTCCCAGTCCATCCCAGTCTCTCCCAGTCCCTCCCAGTTCCTCCCAGTCCCTCCCAGTCCATCCCAGTTCCCCCCAGTCTCTCCCAGTTCCCCCCAGTCCATCCCAGTTCTCTCCCAGTCCATCCCAGTGCCCCCCAGTTTACTCACAGTCCATCCCAGTCCATCCCAGTCCATCCCAGTTCCCTCCCAGTCCATCCCAGTCCCTCCCAGTCTCTCCCAGTCCCTCCCAGTCCCTCCCAGTCTCTCCCAGTCCATCCCAGTTCCCTCCCAGTCCCTCCCAGTTCCCTCCCAGTCCACCCCAGTCCCTCCCAGTTCCCTCCCAGTTTCCCCCCCCAGTTCCCTCCCAGTCCATCCCAGTCCCTCCCAGTCCATCCCAGTTCCCCCCAGTCCATCCCAGTCTCTCCCAGTTCCCCCCAGTCTCTCCCAGTTCCCTCCCAGTTTCCCCCCCCAGTTCCCTCCCAGTCCATCCCAGTCCCTCCCAGTCCATCCCAGTTCCCCCCAAGTTCCCTCCCAGTCCCTCCCAGTCCATCCCAGTTCCCTCCCAGTCCCTCCCAGTCCATCCCAGTTCCCCCCCAGTCTCTCCCAGTCTCTCCCAGTTCCCTCCCAGTCCCTCCCAGTCCATCCCAGTTCCCCCCAAGTTCCCTCCCAGTCCCTCCCAGTCCATCCCAGTCCCCCCCAGTCTCCCCCAGTCCATCCCAGTATTCCCAGTTCCCCCCAGTCCATCCCAGTCCCTCCCAGTCCATCCCAGTCTCTCCCAGTTCCCCCCAGTCCATCCCAGTTCCCCCCAGTTCCCTCCCAGTCCATCCCAGTCTCTCCCAGTTCCCCCCAGTCCCTCCCAGTCCATCCCAGTTCCCCCCAAGTTCCCTCCCAGTCCCTCCCAGTCCCTCCCAGTTCCCTCCCAGTTCCCTCCCAGTTTCCCCCCCCCAGTTCCCTCCCAGTCCATCCCAGTCTCTCCCAGTTCCCCCCAGTCCCTCCCAGTTCCCTCCCAGTCCATCCCAGTTCCCTCCCAGTCCATCCCAGTCCATCCCAGTTCCCCCCAGTCCATCCCAGTCTCTCCCAGTTCCCCCCAGTCCCTCCCAGTCCATCCCAGTCCCCCCAAGTTCCCTCCCAGTCCCTCCCAGTCCCTCCCAGTCCCTCCCAGTCCATCCCAGTCCCTCCCAGTTCTCCCCAGTCCATCCCAGTTCCCTCCCAGTCCATCCCAGTCCATCCCAGTTCCCCCCAGTCCATCCCAGTCCCTCCCAGTCCCTCCCAGTCCCTCCCAGTCCCTCCCAGTTCCCCCCAGTCCCTCCCAGTCCCTCCCAGTCCATCCCAGTCTCTCCCAGTTCCCCCCAGTCCATCCCAGTCCCTCCCAGTCCATCCCAGTCTCTCCCAGTCCCTCCCAGTCCCTCCCAGTCCATCCCAGTCTCTCCCAGTTCCCCCCAGTCCATCCCAGTCCATCCCAGTCCATCCCAGTCCCTCCCAGTCCCTCCCAGTCCCTCCCAGTTCCCCCCAGTCCCTCCCAGTTCCCCTCCCCTCCCCCCCCGGTTATTTCGGTCCCCCCGCACCTGTCCCTGGCCCTGCCCCTCCCCCACCGGGCCCCGCGCCAGCGCCCCTCCCCCACCCGGGCACGGCCGGGGGAACTGGGACAAACTGGGACAAACTGGGACAAACTGGGAGGGACTGGGACAAACTGGGAGGGATTGGGAGGGACTGGGACAAACTGGGACAAACTGGGACAGACTGGGAGGGACTGGGACAAACTGGGACAAACTGGGACAAACTGGGAGGGACTGGGAGGGATTGGGAAGGTCTGGGACAAACTGGGAGGGACTGGGACAAACTGGGACAAACTGGGACAAACTGGGAGGGATTGGGACAAACTGGGAGGGACTGGGACAAACTGGGACAAACTGGGAGGGATTGGGACAAACTGGGAGGGACTGGGACAAACTGGGACAAACTGGGACAAACTGGGAGGGACTGGGACAAACTGGGACAAACTGGGACAAACTGGGAGGGACTGGGAGGGATTGGGAAGGTCTGGGACAAACTGGGAGGGACTGGGACAAACTGGGACAAACTGGGACAAACTGGGAGGGACTGGGAGGGATTGGGAAGGTCTGGGACAAACTGGGAGGGACTGGGACAAACTGGGACAAACTGGGACAAACTG